GTGTAATGGAAATCACTCTCCACAAGCTGTCAGTGCCTTTGTTTGTTTGCAAGTACAAATGGACTAAATTTCAAAATTGCTTGAAGCGCCCTTGAAACGTCCTTATTCTCTTCTCCCCTTCGCCCTCACACAGCCCGCATCTACTTCCAGGAAAGGAGTGAACCCCCCCCCCCCCCCCCCCCCGATTTAAAACTACTGGTAAAGAACAAGTAGTGAACAGGCTTCTGAGACCAGAGGTGCTGATATTGACGAGGGGTAAACTTGAGAACGTGAGTGGATGGTAAAGAACAAGTAGTGAACAGGCTTCTGAGACCAGAGGTGCTGATATTGACGAGGGGTAAACTTGAGGACGTGAGTGGAAGAGTGGCAGAGAAGACCAAAAGAGATGTTGGTTTGGTACGATGGCATGTGTGAGTTCTAGGGCTCCATTTGGGGGAAGGAGAATAGACCCAATGCCTCCCTGTCAAACATGTTGTAAAAGTTAACTAATTAGGGACTTTCCTTCAAAGCCTGAATGCATAGGCCTGAGATGCAAGGGAGCAACAGTCTGCACACAGTTAAGCCAGGCCTGTGAAACAGACATGCATGCAAAATGTCACATTCTGGAACTAACTCAAGTCCAGATGTGGACAACAACCAAAACTTTCCACCAGAGTTTACAGCTTGGGAATGCTAAAGAGAACAAGATTTGTTGCTTTATCGCTAAATTATTTCCAAATATTGAGAATAAAGTATCTGAGTTTATCTCTTCAGTATTCTAAAAAACACAGAATAGCATAAATTATTCACTTTATCACTAGAGTATTCTCAAAACCATGAGAAAATCGTATCTGACTTTACACTTTTCCCAGAAATCCATGCTACCATTAAAGCAGGTTACAGAATCTACATAGGTTATCCCGATGGATCTGCTGAAGAGATTGTTGATGCATGTGGGGAATTCTGTTCAAATTATGAAGCTGAAATAATTGCACTGGGAACAGCAGTATACCACCTAAAGACTGTAATGGATGTTTACCCTTCAAAGGCCCAAAATATTGTCATCTTCACAGACTCAATGTCTGCCCTTTGAGCTCTGGAGGGCAGTGAACGCGGCAGAACTGACATAGCCAAGATAATCCTGGATGCTGATCAGCTTATTAACTCATACAACATCAGAATAGTGATGCAGTGGATTCTAGGCCACTCCGGCACACCAGGTAATAACAGAGCTGACAGATTGGCAAAGAAAGGAGCAACACAAGAACAACCACCTACAGCGACAACCTTACAGACACCAAAAACACTTATAAGAGCTATAAACAAAGAGACTTGGTTGAACAGGTGGACCATGGGAGAACATGGAAGAGAGGTTTATTGACATACGGCTGGCCCTGATCCTAATGACAGCATTAACCATCTAACAAGAAGGGACCAGGCCACCATCTTCAGACTTAGAACGCAACAAACTCCACTCAATGGACATCTAAACAGAATACAGCCACAACACTCCCAAAAGTGCCAGCTATGTAACTACCCCTACGAAACTGTTGAACACCATCTCTTTGAGTGCCCAGAACTCAGTGAGACTAGAAGAATGCTACTCCCTCCGAAACCAGACAAGTGGAACACTCTTGTACGGAGGAAAATAACAGCTTGTGAAAACATGCAAATTCCACTACATGACATTGGGCCAAAGGGCGAAAGCTCATGCGCCGCTGGATCGATAACAACAACAATAAAAACTCAGAAATCCATAGCTGCCTCATCCTTGTAGTATTCCGGGGGGTCTTCGTGGTGAAGTAGGCAAGCCGTTTTCCGCATGCTCTGAAGGTCATGGGTTCATTTCACAGCGGCACCGTTCACTTCACAAGTGCAATTTTTACTGAGATCCCTGAGGATCATCGTCAGAGCTGTGGGGGTCGTGTTCTGAGTGACGCTCTCCGCAGGCAGCTAGCTGTTCTGCAGGAAGAGACTGAGCCTTATGGGATAAAGCCCGATGCAATAAAGTCGATCCTCTCCCCTATTACAATTCACAGGAACATGAGGATGCGTTAATTACTTCATCCCTACAGTATTCCCAGATGCATGATAGGTCATGTTATTTTATTTACTAAATTTTCTCAGAAAGACAAAAATTGCATGTACTAAATACTTTCTGTCTACAGTATTCCCAGAAGCAGGAGAAATCAGATTATTTTATCACTTTAATATTCACAGAAACACAAGAATATCATTTATCAACCATTGTCTTTCCACAGTATTCTCAGAAACATGACGACATGTTTTCTGACCATGTTCTGTGTCAGGGAATCGTTGTAGCCCTCATCATTGCCTCACATTTCATTATATTAGAAAGGTGAGTTCAGGCGAATGTCATTGATGTAAATGAGAGACATAAAGAGAGTGTGTGCGTGCGTGCGGGAAGAGGGCGGTTCCCCAGTTAATGCCATAGCGCAATCAGTATTCAAAATCTGAGTGTTTATGCAAAATATTTTGTTAAATCGAACAACAGAGAAGCAGGATATTGGGTAGATGTTTTATAAATGACCTGAGCTCATAGCCTTAAAAAAAATATTCCCTGAAAATATCCGGGGAAATATGTGCGAAATTGACCACACAACCAAGTGCCAATTGGTCTCTATAATATAGGCATTGGTATCTGATGCCCAGTACACATAAAGTGTGAAATTGAGTCTCTGACTTACTTTAAACTTGTCGCCTTGAAAAGCTGCAAAACCGGCACTTCTGATCAGGGCCAATTTCCTATGAATGTTACTTTTCCGACTTGCTCAAAGTGGCCTGTTTATGTGTTATATGCTAAGTTCATGCCTACCCAAACATATAGGAGGTCAAAATGTTGCTTGTTGTTCTTATCCACATTCTAGCACATCATTCTGACCTGCTCTGTCCTCTGATGCAGCAGCCATTTCTGTGTCTCCATTCTCAACGTATCCAGTAGGCTTTGATTTACATTTCTTATTCTTTGCCACTCGGCTGGTTTATACATGCTTGTACGTGTTGAATACCCATGTCCAACAGGTGGTTCATCATCTCATCTCAGTGTCTCTGGATCGCAGTGCATCCATTATGTCTACCCTGTCCATACATCTTCTTCCACTGATGACTGCGGACATGGGCAGCTCTTTTATTTTCTGTCACCCTGACATATCCTGCTGTGTTCAGCCAAGATAGTTTGTTCAGGCGGGACTCCTGGATGCTGTTAACCCATTCTAGTCGTTATTTTCTAGTTTTAATCTTCTTAACCATTTCGCTGCTACCTACAAACATTCAGCATGTGCCACTGTGCTAAACAAGGTTCATACTGAATAGTTCTCCCATGCAGAATAGGTTGTTATCCATCAAAGGCGAAAGATGCATCAGTGGTGTTGGATATCTTATTCTACCTAAAAAGTATTAACCCCAGGGAGGTGTGTGGTTGGCTTGTGTTGACTGTAGCAGTGCCAAGACAACTCACCTTCACAAAATGAAACACTAGAATCTAGATTTCCTTGCCCAACTTTGCTAGGGATAGGGAAAGAATATCGTACCCCTACTTCATCATTGTCTCCACAGCTGCCATATACATAGTAGAAACTCCATGGAGGAGCAAGCACAACAGGAGCTGGTTGTCAAAAGACTCCCTCTTTTCTCTCCACCAACCTTAAATGTTTCGGCCCATTTACATTCCTTAAAGGAGGAAAGTGCAAGACAGTTGCATTCTCCCACCCTGTACTTCATCTTTGTCTCCATCACTGCTGTATGTTTAGTCATTGCCTTTTCCACCACCTGACACATTTAACCGACAGAGCTACTAAACTCTCAACTGCCCCAGCACCTACAAGGAGGCAGTAGTGCTCCTCTATGTGAAGAACTGGTCTAGGAGGCTCTGAGCCGTGAGTCAGGGGTACAGTCAATAATAACTGTTATTACTCTTTTATTAAAAAAAAAATACTTGCTCATTTCATTGTCGAAATTGCTGAGAACACTGACAAAATACAAAGAAAAAGATATTTTTAAACATTAATTTGTGTGTGTGTAGTATTGCCTGTGGATATATCTGAAGTTACAAGAAATTTGTGTTTATGCAAATGACTTAAAAACAATAATATACTTCTGTCCACAGCACTTTGCAGACCCCGATTCATGATTTAGTTGCTAGATGGAATTCACATCCAAATGCTAGCCAGGTCCCAACAGGAATTTATGACAGTCGTCGCTATCAGTTCAAATCTCAGTTAGTTATTAATGAAGGCAGAATCGTTGTTTCATAGTTCCGTTTTCCATTTTAATAATTCTAGTTACAAAATATTTGTAAATAGTGTTGAGAATTATCATATGAACTCTTTCAGTACTAAACAACTTACTATGGATTACTTAGTCATTCCACAGTAGGATCATGTGTCCCAGGCAGATGTTATGTTAACCTTTTGTATCTGAATTATTAGTTTAACCACCACCGGCTCCAGCTGACGGGCCATGCTGCTGACGTCACGGGGTCGGGCTAACGATGCGTTAACGCAGCGGTTCTCAAACAAGAAATAAACTGATTTCAGCCAATGCCAGGGAAGACAACTTAAATTTTAACTTTTAAGTATCTACATGCTTTCTTGAATAATTTCACAATTTTTAGCCGACTTTTCTTGATTATTGCCGCGGCACCCCTGGCATTGGCTCACAGCACCATAGGGTGCCTCAGCACCCAGTTTGAGAACTGCTGCTTTAACGCACCGTTAGCTCGACCCACTGACATCAGCAGCACAGCTTGTCAGCTGGAGCCAGTCGTGGTTTAACTATTTCTGTGCCATTGTCTGTGTTTGATTTCTGCAGACTCAAGCATTTAATGCTTTTGTGGTCATTTGCCCGGAATAGAAATAGGTAACACAACAACTGCTTGCTACTGAAAGAGTTGATAGAAAAAGAGTATAGATATTCTAAATGTGGGTTCCAGGACTTCAGATTTTTCCAGTATGTGTCCAGATTTTTCCAGTATGTGTTCCTGAACTCCAGTTATTTCCAATATGGGTTCTGATACTCTAGATATTCCCAATATGAGTTCCAGGACTCCAAATATTCACAATATGAGTTTCGTGTCTCCAGATATTACCAATATGAGTTTTGTGTCTCCAGATATTACCAATATGAGTTTCGTGACTCCAGATATTTCCAATATGAGTTCCAGGACTCCAGATATTACCAATATGAGTTTCGTGACTCCAGATATTCCCAATATGAGTTCCAGGACTCTAGATATTACCAATATGAGTTTTGTGACTCCAGATATTACCAATATGAGTTTCGTGACTCCAGATATTACCAATATGAGTTCCAGGACTCCAGATATTACCAATATGAGTTTCATGACTCCAAATATTACCAATATGAGTTTCGTGACTCCAGATATTACCAATATGAGTTTAATGACTCCAGATATTCCCAATATGAGTTCCAGGACTCCAGATATTACCAATATGAGTTTCATGACTCCAGATATTACCAATATGAGTTTCGTGACTCCAAATATTACCAATATGAGTTTCGTGACTCCAGATATTACCAATATGAGTTTAATGACTCCAGATATTCCCAATATGAGTTCCAGGACTCCAGATATTACCAATATGAGTTTCTTGACTCAAGATATTACCAGTATGAGTTTTGTGACTCCAGATATTACCAATATGAGTTTCGTGTCTCCAGATATTACCAATATGAGTTTCGTGACTCCAGATATTACCAATATGAGTTTCGTGGCTCCAGATATTACCAATATGAGTTTGGTGTCTTCAGATATTACCAATATGAGTTTGGTGTCTTCAGATATTACCAATATGAGTTTCGTGACTCCAGATATTACCAATATGAGTTTCGTGGCTCCAGATATTACCAATATGAGTTTCGTGACTCCAGATATTACCAATTTGAGTTTCGTGTCTCCAGATATTACCAGTAGGAGTTTTGTGACTCCAGATATTCCCATTGTGGGTTCTGGGACTCCAGATATTCCCAGTGAGGGTTCTGAGACTCCAGATATTCCCACTGTGGGTTCTGAGACTCCAGATATTTCCACTGTGGGTTCTATGTGACTCCATTTGGGGAAGGGGGCTGGGAAGAAATAGACATACTGTCATATAACACACATGTTGTTATAAAAATGATCTAATTAAAGCTTGCTGCAATCAGATGTGTTGGTCAAAGGCTTTATGTATCGCAGCTGTAAACTACATCACAGCATGCCAGCCACCCTTTTTAAAGGCACATGCAGAAGAAGAAGAAATGATAGATATAGAGGTCTTTTATAGATAAAGAGATATTTTCCCTCTAAGACTGCAGTCTTAAAGATTGACAGCCTGTGACTGAAAGAACCACTTTTTACATGCAAATCCAACAGGAGCAAATCCTCGAAGCCCAGTTCAGCTGTAAAAAATAGTTACAATGGGGCACCCAGTGGCTACCAAGCAACCTGCTGTCCCATGAACTGGATTTTGTTTTTAAAAGAAAACAATATAGAGATCTGTCCAAAAAATTATCTATTGTGGACACCTCAATTATAAAGTGAATATTTGTATTACATCCTGGAGGTTTATAGAAATCTTTATCACACAGTGAAGGCAGCTAATAAATATTAATACTATGATACAGTAAAATCTCATTAACATGAATTCCAGGGGACCTGAAATCGAGTTCTGGTTCCAGGCTGAGGTAGCTGTTATGGGTCTCTCAGTTTGAATTTGCTGATGCTGAAAAAGGCATCAGAGATTTGCCCTGTTAGCTTGCCATCCAATCTGAGATTTTGTAATCTCAGGGTAGTCAGACCTTCAGGGGTGGAGCTATGAGGGGTAAAATTTAGGAAAAAGAGGATGTAGGAAGTGTGTGGAGATTTACTTAGAAACAGACAGATCAGAACAGTGTGCAGTCATAATAAAGGGGACCACATAAATAATGGATTCAGTTAGGAACAAGAAGATAAATTAAGGTTTGATGGTTTTTCCCCAAAATGTTGTTATTGTATTTATAAGTTTTCTGTTTCATTTTCACTGTTGACTTCATTAATTTCATTTCTGTGACCATTTTTTCAACAATACTTACCTGCTTGAGATTGTGGGCTATACCCACATATGACTTGGTGTAAAGGTTGTAATTCTCTCTATGTTTTTTTGAAGAACATTGAATGAGGTATTAAGATTAGTCCTTTTTGAGTAGCATCCAGGATGCAACATTTTTAGTATCAGTGGTTAACTTTTGCCCCAGATTGCAACCTGGAGGGTAAACCAGTCAAGTTGTATTGTCAGCCTTACTGAGTTTTGCAGTTGCTGTATTTTTAAATAAGATAAGGGAGAGAGGTTGTATTAGTGGTAAGGGTAGACAAATATTATTTTGGGGGCAAGCGAAATAATAGGACGTTAACAGTGAGCTCAAGGGGTAAAAAAATTAAAAAACCATCAAGGAGATAGATGAATGGTGCCTTTGCAGTTAACAACTGGCAGCATCACAATGGAAATTGTGTTCACAGCATGGGCATTAGAATGGCTTGGTTCTCAAGTTCACACATGCGTGCTTACTTAGTGACTCAGTAAATATGCTTCAGAAAATCAAGGCTGGGTTAATCAGACAAGCGTGGATTAAATCACTAAGCACTTCATGAATGGCTGGCCTAATCTTTATATTTGTGCTGGGTCCTGTGGGTTTTCTAGGCGACGAGTATGCAGATTATCTTGCAGACACTGCGGTTGCTATAGATGGTCCTGTATTAGACAAATGCAGTGTTATCAATGCCATCGCAGCACTGAAGGCATTTCCCTGTCCAGGCTGATGGACGTGGGTGTGCAGCAAGGGCAGGAAGAAAGAAACATTTCACCAAGGATACAAGACGTTAGATCAACCAACAGAAAATTGGTGTCATCAGTCGAGGAGGAGAACCTGTGGAAATATCCCGAGTGCTGTGATGATAATCCACACTAATCACGCTTGTCAATAGGGCACACCAGGGCAGTAGAGGTGCCTTGATTAAAACCTCATTGGAGGTTCAAGAGGGTATCTAGGATTTGTCCTGTTGGAGTGACATTTTCAGTCACAGGGGTGGCAAACCAGGTTCAACTGAAGTGGAAAACAGTCAGTCAGCCTCAGTTTTATTCAGCAGAAGCTGGTGCTGCAGCTGTGTTAGCTTCCATTAGATGAGAATCTCCATGAAGACCTTGTTTAGCCCAGGCAGTTATTACTTTTAACTCTTGTCTGTTCCAAGGAATTGAGCTTAAAAATAATAAATAGTTAGGCTTGTAGGAAACAGAGACACAGTGGGACAGAAGTAGTTAAACTAGCAGTTCACATAAAAAGATTTAATGTAGCATCTGTTGGTGATGAAGGGCAACAAGAAAATTATATCTGAAATAACTGCCGGTTGCACTAGCTAAGTTGCTAAAATGAGCTGCACGACCATCAGGTGACAAACTCCTCGTGCTCGGGGGTAGGCAGAAAAGCCATAAATTTCCCGGATTTACTGTATCTATCATGGAATCAAGGCCGAAAGGTTGTGATATCCATAGTACAGAGCCAAATGGTTTGTAATTCATGGATTCTAGATTTAAATAAAAAAACTGGAATAACAGAGAAATGTATATTGATATTGTGTGTGTGCAGAAACAAATTAATTTAATCTCTTGATGCCACCATTCCTCCCCAGCACTGGCTCAAAAATAGAGACTGTTCTGGCAGCACTGGCTTTCAGTGAGGTGGTCTTGTTCATCATCTGCTGTGTGGAAATTATGCCTGTAAGTGACTATTATACCACTTTAAGTAGTATCTTGTTCTTGTTCAGTGATCTCTGGTCATGCTCATATTCCACTGTGGACCATAAACTGGGCTGTCATCTCAAGGTCTCTTAATTTTCCCCAAAGCTTAGTTGTCAGGTCTACTGGGTGTTGCCACATGCTGCTCCACAGCTTTGCCAAAAGAGGACAGTCTTGCAAGACATGTTCTGGAGTCAGTTCAGCATGAAGACACTGGATGAGAGCTGTTTGGCTCATATCTAATTTGTGTGAGTGTTTGTTGAGTCTGCAGTGTCCAGGAGTGTGACAGTAGTATCAGCATTCTTTGTGGATGGATGAATGACTGTCACACAGAATAGATAGGAGTTCATTATGACATAGATATAGTGTTACATTGATACATGAGTGCAGCGACAAACTGGAAGAGAACTAATGACTGTTCATTGCATTATCAGTCAGTGAACCATTTATCCTAAGCAGGCCATGAGAAAAGTACCACAACTTGACTCATGAGGGAACAAGTGAACAGACTGTAGGACCGGTTAAGGACCAAGCTTAAGCTGCACAGTTTGTGTGGGACATTTGTGGAAACAAGAAGTATGCAGGTTTTCTGCTTGGAGTGCTTTTTGAGTATATTTGATTTCTGTGGCATTTCGTTCTGTAAGAAAGATGTAGCATGCAAGCATCTTAGATGAATGACAGTTTATGAATGACAGTGTGATGGCAGCACTACATAAAGAAAACATCTCTATGTGAGAAACATTTGAATTAAACTCTGGGGCTGCTTTGTGTATGTTTTTTGTAATAGTTTTTTTTTTCTTCTGTGTGTTTGTTTACCTGCAGCATAAAAACATGCTTAGGAGAGGATTGGAATACTTATGGGTACGACCGATGTGCAGTGAAGGTGATCTTGAACAATGAACAACATCTTTCTGTCTAAGATGTCACCTAAGGTTGTCACTGAACCAGTGAGAGAACCCATGGGACGACTCTTGACACACACTAGTGAATATAAAATTGCCCCCCCCCCCCCCCCCCCCCCCCCCCCCCCCCCAATTTTTTGAAAAGATATGAGAAAATACAGACACTTAAATAGGAAACATATAGACTTGGAAATTAGGGTGCTCAGGAGAAAACTTAAGATGACAGTTGATGAGAATAATGGACAAAATTTCATCTATGTCAGAATTCTATTTATGTCAAGATTCCATCCATGTAAAGATTCCCTTCATGATATCGGAAAAGATTACAAAGGATGGAGTAGAATCTACTGTAAGCCGTAACTGACAAATTAATCAAACAGCAGTATGATGGTGATGATCATGATGCAGAATGTAAAATGCAGACTGTCATTTGTTGATGCAATTGTTATTTACTGTTGGCATCACAGTCTTTGGGACTTTCCAAGAATCAGATTGGAATAGGAGGTATTTGACATGCATAGTTGGTCCCTTATTCCTATTTTTGCCTTTAATGTGTGTCACTTTTGTTTTTTTGGTGGGTAAACAATGTGTTCCTTATTTCTGTTTCAGTGTATACCAGTATCAGTGCGATTATGGTTTCATGATCTGTTTGCAAAACGATTATTCAGCCAGACGTTTGCAGCAGTGTCAACATTAATCGTGTTTATTGCAGCCATTTTCCCAATGGTAAGTTGTATATTGTATATACATGTATGCTGTGCACATATCTGTTCTCTTAATATTAGCACTTGAGTTGATTGATATACTGTTTACAAGTGTAAAAAGGACGCATAAAAAGGGCTTAGTGCGGAGAATAAAAGAATTCACTAGGTTTTTTCCCACATGTGGGCACATTTTCTAGAGTCCAGCAAATAATAGGAAATCAGAGGAATTAGTAGCAACAGATCAAAGCGGACGAATATTAACTATTCACTTACCTCTGGTAGGGATTTCAAACACGGTTAGGCCTCAGCAATGACCGCCAATTGGGATTTACTGAGCCAGTTAGAGGAGGCAAGACAAAAATGTCTGTCTCCTCGTTCAAGTGTGTTTGAAAGGTTCGGAAGTGCTAACATGAAGTCATTGAAAGGGAAAGATAGGGAAGCTAACTCTGGGTTGATCCTCACATTTCTCATTTCGTTTTTTCGCCTAATAATAAAGAAATTATTAATATTGCTATTATAAAGCGATAATTAATCGGTAAGAAATTGTAGACTAGACTAGCTCGTCACACCGCCTTATGCTCTTTTATATCCAAGAAGCCATATTCGGATACCGTGACGTCTGCTGTTAAATTTTCTAATCCGCTGTGGTGCTTGATATGGTCAAAAATATTTCAGCTTCTGAGTCAAGATGCTT